AAATTTTCGCTTTTTAATCTGCTTTCTCAATTCTCTAAATTCTCTAATTTTCTATTTAAGTTTAAAGCTTAGTGATTAGTGATTAGATTAGCGCGTGAGCTTTTTGAGGTCTGGTTCGGATCCTTTTGCTGTCAAACATTTTACTTTCTTTCAAAAATGACTTTAAAATTCAGTTTTCTCATTTTGTGAGCGGAAAAACGAAGGAGAGATTTGGAATCGATGAAAAAAATTGAATAAAATGAGCTAGATGAACAAAATGACGCGAAGCTAAGTGTCAAATTCGAGAGTATTATTCGTTTTCTGCTTTTCTACCCACTAAAAATCCCGGGTTTTCTAGAAAAAGTGGGAATTTTTCTTCATTTTCTCCCAACTTCACCTCCCAGGCTTCTCTCGATTCTGTTCAAATTGTTTTCTACAATTTTGGTTTCTTTTGTTTACAAATTTGGTTCCTTAATAGAAAAGCTAAAATAGAATAACTTATGCTTAAAGTATTATAGTTTAATATGATAGCCGACTGGATAGGAATCTTGTCTATTAATCGGTGAATTCGAAGGTCAAAGGTTCGATCCAAGTAACCAAAAAAATTTCTTTCTTTTTCCCATCATTATAGGGTTTTTTTTCTTAACAACATTTGAGTAATAAGGGAAAAAAAAAATCTCCTCCTTTATGCTGTAATTGATTATTTTTGGTTTATAATTTCTCAATCAAAATCGACCAAAATCAAGAAAAATCAATCAAAATCAAGAAAAATCCATCAAAATCAACCAAAATCAAGAAAAGAATCAAAAATCTAACTTCCGTATATCAAAAGTATAAAAGTATCAAAAGAATCGAGTACTTAAACTGTCAATTTTATAAAATATTATAAAATTCTAAAAATGGCAAAGAAGCGAAGAAAATTCGCCGCCGCCAAAAATGCAAAAAATACACACACACTTTCACAGGAATTATTGACCAGGAGGCAGGGGGTACTTCTTGCCTATCCCTGCTGCTGTCAATGAGTCAGGGGGGATAGTAATTTTCCCCCTACGCCTCCCCTGTGCCACGGTGGAAGCCGGGGGTCACTCGGCTAGGGTTTACCCCGGGAGCCGCGCCTTACCATGGTGTATCCTTCCAACCGACGCAAGCACGCCGCACCATGGGATTTTACCGAGTCTTTTTCTGACTCAGGCCGGGACTCAGCCCTGCCATGATGCTGAACAAGAATTTGTGCTTTATATCGCCCCCATAGCACGTCGGCTGCCAGAAAGGGGTCGAGTAGGAGGACCGGCTGAGAACCCACACCCACCCACACCCGGCTGATAACCCACATGAATGTTCTAGCCAAAATTTCAGAGAAATTCATTCAGCCAATTTTTCCGTAGAGTTTTTTATGGATTTTTACGACAAAAGGCGTTTTTCACTCTCGAATTTGCTTGAAAGTGAACCGAAATTCATTTAAAAAGATGCAAATTGAACAAAAAAACACTTTTTTTTTATAGAGCAAACTATAGATTAATTGGTGAATTTGTTACTTTTTAACAGAAGTACGAAAAAAACGAAAAGATATGCATCAACCTATTAGCCGATAGTCAAATCTTTCCACCAACAAAACCATTATTTTCTTTTTATCAAGATCAGAGTTTGAGGGTTTAAGGGATTTTCCGGTAGATAGCTTTTTCATTGAACAATCTCGTAATTAATCCAAGCTTTATCAGATGTTAGAAATGAATCCCAGAAACCATCAGCTTTGGTTTGATGAAGCAAAAGAGCTGAACTGAAGAACTGACATCTGCACAAGTTGTCTTGAATCAAGTTGAGACTCATTTTCTAGAATTTAGCTGCTGCTGCGTGGGAAGCCGGCGTTTACGGTGAGCACAAAGTACACTTCGATTCACGCAGGCACATTTTTGATGAAATGGATGGGAAAACACGTAAAGGAACGAATAGAAAACTAGAAAACTAGAAAGATATTCAAGCAATAAGATAATAATTCTTTAAGAAAACAAAAAACAATAAAAAAAGGATCAATTTTGACATGAAATTTGAAAATTTTGATCATTTGACAATTCGCTAAGCTTGGCTTGAATTTTTTTGCCTTCCTTTCCTTTAGTCTAGCTTTAAAATAGTAATTCTAAAGTTATAGCAATTCTAAAGTATTTAAGAATCTTGTTAAGCTTTGAATATGTCATTAGAATCAAGAAAATCAATAATTCCATCAAAATCCATCAAAAAAAAAACATCGGGAAGGAGCTATTCGAACTAGTAGTGTTCTGACAATCAAATAGTTGGATTGGAGTTGGATTGGAGTTGGATTTCTTAAGGCTTTAAGGCCTTGTACTCGGTTCGGCGAAAAATCGACGAAAAAATCGACGAAAAATATGAAAATAGTTGCATTTTTATCTTAAGATTAACAGTTTAAAGCCTTGAACTCGATTCAGGTACGGTAGTTTATCCACCATCTATTTATCTTTTTGAATTCCGATTGACTTTTGAATCTTTTGAAACTTTTTGTCGGAGTAAACACTTTAAATGCCTATAACTTTGTTTAGAAATTATATTATTGTTAACTTTTTCTATAGTTGGATAGAGAATATTTCAGGCTTTTGAATGATATTAAATAGAGCTTCACTGGATTTACCAATATCTGAAAAATGGCTGAGTAAAGTGCTGGTAAAGTGTCAGAGTCGGTTAGCTTGGTTAGTGCTGGCTTTCTGGAGAGCTTTCTGGAGTTGGTTGACTCAATCAAATTCGATTTGGTATCATTTGAAAGCCTACAGTATACTCTATTCAATCAAAAAGTTAACAATAATATTATTTCTAAGTAAAGTTCGAAATGTAACTAGGTAGATAATAAATAAAACAACAGTGATTTCAAAATTTCAGCAAGCTTTGTCAACTCATCGAAAAGTGCCGGAGACTGGTCAACTCTTCACTGGCGCTCAGAAACTCGTTCTTGACGGAATCGTGAAAACGGTTGGTGTTGGAGAAGTTGTCTAACATTTAGATATTTCTAGATATTAACAAAGGAATGTCAACTGGTTGTGGTGGCCAAATGGCATGAGCCATTTACTGGCCGACGTAAAATTTTGCGCTGATTCCGAATCCGTTTTCCGATTAGACTAGTGGGGGATTAGTGTGTTGAGCTTCTGGGAAAGCTTAGAAACTGTAAAATAGTCATCAACTCGGCACTACTATTAGAGAAAATACGTTATGTTTCAAAAATAATGAATTCAAATTGAATTTAGTTAAACGAGCTTCTCCTAAAGTCAGACAATAATGGATTTAATGGTGAAGAAACGGTTGGTTACATTAATTCTACAATAACATCAACAAAACAGTTATTTTCTAATCTTATTAAAGATTTCATAGCACTTTTTCATGCTTTAAATCTCAAATTTCAACCTAAAGCCTTTAGAAAAAGGGATTAGTTAACTTTTTTTTCGTTTAAACTCTCTACAATCTTTTTCTTTGCTATAGTTTTTATTGAAAAGCTAAAATAGAATAACTTATGCTTAAAGTATTATAGTTTAATATGATAGCCGACTGGATAGGAATCTTGTCTATTAATCGGTGAATTCGAAGGTCAAAGGTTCGATCCAAGTAACCAAAAAATTTCTTTCTTTTTCCCATCATTATAGGGTTTTTTCTTAACAACATTTGAGTAATAAGGGAAAAAAAAATCTCCTCCTTTATGCTGTAATTGATTATTTTTGGTTTATAATTTCTCAATCAAAATCGACCAAAATCAAGAAAAATCAATCAAAATCAAGAAAAATCCATCAAAATCAACCAAAATCAAGAAAAGAATCAAAAATCTAACTTCCGTATATCAAAAGTATAAAAAGTATCAAAAGAATCGAGTACTTAAACTGTCAATTTTATAAAATATTATAAAATTCTAAAAATGGCAAAGAAGCGAAGAAAATTCGCCGCCGCCAAAAATGCAAAAAATACACACACACTTTCACAGGAATTATTGACCAGGAGGCAGGGGGTACTTCTTGCCTATCCCTGCTGCTGTCAATGAGTCAGGGGATAGTAATTTTCCCCCTACGCCTCCCCTGTGCCACGGTGGAAGCCGGGGGGTCACTCGGCTAGGGTTTACCCCGGGAGCCGCGCCTTACCATGGTGTATCCTTCCAACCGACGCAAGCACGCCGCACCATGGGATTTTACCGAGTCTTTTTCTGACTCAGGCCGGGACTCAGCCCTGCCATGATGCTGAACAAGAATTTGTGCTTTATATCGCCCCCATAGCACGTCGGCTGCCAGAAAGGGGTCGAGTAGGAGGACCGGCTGAGAACCCACACCCACCCACACCCGGCTGATAACCCACATGAATGTTCTAGCCAAAATTTCAGAGAAATTCATTCAGCCAATTTTTCCGTAGAGTTTTTATGGATTTTTACGACAAAAGGCGTTTTTCACTCTCGAATTTGCTTGAAAGTGAACCGAAATTCATTTAAAAAGATGCAAATTGAACAAAAAAACACTTTTTTTTTATAGAGCAAACTATAGATTAATTGGTGAATTTGTTACTTTTTAACAGAAGTACGAAAAAAACGAAAAGACTTATGCATCAACCTATTAGCCGATAGTCAAATCTTTCCACCAACAAAACCATTATTTTCTTTTTATCAAGATCAGAGTTTGAGGGTTTAAGGGATTTTCCGGTAGATAGCTTTTTCATTGAACAATCTCGTAATTAATCCAAGCTTTATCAGATGTTAGAAATGAATCCCAGAAACCATCAGCTTTCTCTCTTTTTCTCTTTTTATCAACGTTTTCTGATCTTCTGATCAATTTCAAGCTTTGCTTTCAAGCTTTCAAGCACTTTGCAAGCTTTTGAGTGCAAGATTCAAGTCAATTTCAATTCCTCAATGCGAAATTTTAAACGGGCATCATTTTTTTCCTAAATAGTTTCCAAAAAACGAATTTCGCAATCTAAAAAGTCTCTTAATTACAGTTTTCAGTCTAGAAATTGAAAATTTATTCATCAAAATAATAAATAAAGCTTTAGAACCCGTTTCCGGAGGTCGGCTTGATGTCGGGGAATAATTGGAGGACGTTGATTGGCTGAAAATGAGATTGAATATCAAATTGCTGAAGAAAATTGAAGGGAAAATTGGGTAAACCGTTTGGAAAAGCCAATCTGGATATCACACAAGATAAATCTATCAATTTCAGCATTATTATATTATTTCGTTAGATTCCAATTTTTTAATTGAGTCTTTTTATGGTTTAAACCATAAAAAAGACAAAGAAAAAGCTTTAAACCATAAAAAGACTCAAATATTCGACATTATTCGAGACGAATAATCAATTACAGCATAAAGGAGGAGATTTTTTTTCCCTTATTACTCAAATGTTGTTAAGAAAAAAAACCCTATAATGATGGGAAAAAGAAAGAAATTTTTTGGTTACTTGGATCGAACCTTTGACCTTCGAATTCACCGATTAATAGACAAGATTCCTATCCAGTCGGCTATCATATTAAACTATAATACTTTAAGCATAAGTTATTCTATTTTAGCTTTTCAATAAAAACTATAGCAAAGAAAAAGATTGTAGAGAGTTTAAACGAAAAAAAAAAAGTTAACTAATCCCTTTTTCTAAAGGCTTTAGGTTGAAATTTGAGATTTAAAGCATGAAAAAGTGCTATGAAATCTTTAATAAGATTAGAAAATAACTGTTTTGTTGATGTTATTGTAGAATTAATGTAACCAACCGTTTCTTCACCATTAAATCCATTATTGTCTGACTTTAGGGAGAAGCTCGTTTAACTAAATTCAATTTGAATTCATTATTTTTGAAACATAACGTATTTTCTCTAATAGTAGTGCCGAGTTGATGACTATTTTACAGTTTCTAAGCTTTCCCAGAAGCTCAACACACTAATCCCCCACTAGTCTAATCGGAAAACGGATTCGGAATCAGCGCAAAATTTTACGTCGGCCAGTAAATGGCTCATGCCATTTGGCCACCACAACCAGTTGACATTCCTTTGTTAATATCTAGAAATATCTAAATGTTAGACAACTTCTCCAACACCAACCGTTTTCACGATTCCGTCAAGAACGAGTTTCTGAGCGCCAGTGAAGAGTTGACCAGTCTCCGGCACTTTTCGATGAGTTGACAAAGCTTGCTGAAATTTTGAAATCACTGTTGTTTTATTTATTATCTACCTAGTTACATTTCGAACTTTACTTAGAAATAATATTATTGTTAACTTTTTGATTGAATAGAGTATACTGTAGGCTTTCAAATGATACCAAATCGAATTTGATTGAGTCAACCAACTCCAGAAAGCTCTCCAGAAAGCCAGCACTAACCAAGCTAACCGACTCTGACACTTTACCAGCACTTTACTCAGCCATTTTTCAGATATTGGCAAATCCAGTGAAGCTCTATTTAATATCATTCAAAAGCCTGAAATATTCTCTATCCAACTATAGAAAAAGTTAACAATAATATAATTTCTAAACAAAGTTATAGGCATTTAAAGTGTTTACTTCGAAAAAAAGTTTCAAAAGATTCAAAAGCCAATCGGAAAGAGCCCATTTTTACAGAAAACTTTAATTCTTTATTGGTTAACTGAATATCATTTCGTATTTAATTTTTAGAAATGGATTAAGCCAGAAAAATTGATTTTACCTTCACTGAGACACCTCTCGCTAAATCCATGTAGTAGGAAGGGATTTTCTCCTCGAAACTTTCATATTCAGTGCCTGGTTGAGGAGATTGAACCATCTAAATATGTAAATATCGATAGAACCAAGTGATCGAAGCTTATTTACCCGATTCGTCAGCGAACTCGTTTGCATGAGCAGCGCGTTCAGTGGCGAGTGTGAGAGCGAGCTCGAGCTGGGTTCATCCTGAAATTTTGAACAATTTTATCAATTTTAACAATAAACTAGTGTTTAATCTACCTAATTATAAGGATTTAAATCAATTTTTCGAATCTTTTGGCTTAAAATTGAGTCAAGCTCAAAAAAGTGGACCAAAACAAAAGGCTGTACTTAGGCGAAAGCATGAAATCGACGCAGAATTTCACGCTGATTCCGAATCTGCTTCCCGTTTTTGCAAAATAGCTTTCTATAAAAAGTTATACGTGTTTTAAGCTTTAGCTTGGGAAAATTTGGAGAATTGAGAGAAAAAGCCAAAAGCCGAGCCAAAAACCGAGCCTTTATAACGGTTTTCTCATGGCTCAAAAACGCGGCTTGGTGGCCTAGTGGATAAGGCCCTTGATTACAAAACGCTTGCCGCTTGTTTTTCCTTGAGTTCGACCCTTTTGGGGTAAAACTTTCGTTTTGCGTTTTCTTCTGTTCTACACACAATCGTGCACCATTTGGCACACCATTTATACACATAAGAGACACAGGAATTGCTGAAATATGATGATTTGCACCAGTTCTGCTTCAAACCTTAAAACCTACTTTTTCTTAGCTTTGGCTTTGATCAGGCTTGGATTTGTAACTAGTTTTGAATAAAAGAGCGCTTGGGACGGGAAATTTGTTGACAATGAAAAGATTTAAGAAAGATTCGATTCGGTTCCTTTTCGGTTGTGATTCGGTTACGATTTAGTTTCGATTTGGTTCAGATTCGGTTCTAATTCGGTTTTAATTCGGTTCTAATTCGGTTTTAATTCGGTTTTAATTCGGTATCAATACGGTTTCAATTTGGTTCCGACTAGGTTCCGATTAGGGGTCCAATTAGGCTCCGATTAGAATCCGATTGGGTTCCGATTGGGTTCCGATTGGGTTCCGATTAGGGTCCGATTAGGGTCCGATTGAGTTCCGATTGGGTTCCGATTAGGTTCCGATTAGGTTCCGATTGGGTTTCGATTAGGTTCCAACTAGGTTCCGATTGGGTTCCGATTCGGGTCCGATTGAGTTCCGATTAGGTTCCGATTAGGGTCCGATTAGAATCCGATTGGGTTCCGATTGGGTTCCGATTGGGTTCCGATTAGGTTCCAACTAGGTTCCGATTGGGTTCCGATTCGGGTCCGATTGAGTTCCGATTAGGTTCCGATTAGGGTCCGATTCAGTTCCGATTAGGTTCCAACTAGGTTCCAATTGGGTTCCAATTGGGTTCCGATTAGGTTCCGGTTAGGTTCCAACTAGGTTCCAATTAGGTTCCGATTAGGTTCCTCGTATTGTCTTGGAAATGAATGTAGAGACCTGAAAAATGAAAAAACAAAAAGAAAACAACAAAGAAGAAGATGCAAAGATGGATTCTTTCAAACAAAACAAACGTTTTCCTGATCCTGATCCGGAGCATCCTCAAAGACGTTGATTTTTGAACTATGATGATAATTAGTAAAAGCGATTGGAGAAATTGGAGCTGGATTGATCGGAGATGCGAAATTGTCCATTTGCAAGGAAGATGACTGGTGATTGGCCAGAAATAGCTGAAATCTTTGCAAGAATTGTACGCAATTGGTTCAATTTTTAGTTCAATTTTCAGAAATTTCACCGTTTTTCCCAATTTTTCATTAGAAACCGACCTTGGTCAAAAATTTAGGAGAAAACGTTGAAATTATCAAAATTTATCCACTTGAGAAGCTAATCTGGATGTCATGCAAGATAAATATGCAAATTTCAATCGTACAAACTAAACATGGAGAACCCCGTAAGTAGGTGTACAATGGAAAAATCAGTTTTAAGCCAGTTTAGCTTTTACTGCTAAAATTTGCATATTTCTCTTGAATCCAGATTTACTTTTTAAGTTGAAAATAGTCGCTAATTTCAACGTTTTACTCGATAATTTTGGCCGAAGTCGATTCCTAATGAAAATTGAAGGAAAACGCTAACATTTCAAAAGCTTACCCACTTGAGAAGTCAACCTGGAGAGCACAAAAGATAAATAAGTAAATTTCAACATTATTAGCGCACCTGATCCCTTTCCTCGATTGGTTGAATCCGTTGCGGGATCTCCGTTGGCGGTGTTCCTTGTTGCAAACGTTTCTTTTCCTCTTTCAGAAATTCCTCGAGCACATCGCAGTGCCTCATGAGGTAATGAGTCCAAATGTGCTCATAGCATCGCCCCGAATTCCTCGAATAGCTCGAAATGGTCTCGAATTCCTCGAAAGGTCAAGATCGCTAGCCAGTTAGCTTAATTGTCAATCTGGAAGGCACAAGAGAAGTTGTTGTGTCTAGAAAAGAAAACAATTTGGTCGAGCCTGGGGTCGAACCCGGGATCGAACCCTGGATCATTAGCTCATTAGATCGGTAGTCAAGATCGCTAGCCATTTAGCTAAACGATGAGATTCGAGATTTCGCTGTTTACTTACCCAACCAACAGCAATAATTGGTGCCTAGGCCATAAACTTGATCATCTTTCGTGTGAATGAGCGCCTCGCAACCAGCACTTCCAAAAACGATGCATTCCTGGAAATAAAAGCTTTTAATAAAAGCTTTCAAAGCTTTCAATTAAAGCTTTCAAAGCTTTTAATTAAAGCTTTCAAAGCTTTCAAAGCTATCAAATTCCTTTATCATTTAGCATTTAAACTTATTAAAAAAACTTAAAAGTTTTCAGTCTAGAAATTGAAAATTTATTCATCAAAATAATAAATAAAGCTTTAGAACCCGTTTCCGGAGGTCGGCTTGATGTCGGGGAATAATTGGAGGACGTTGATTGGCTGAAAATGAGATTGAATATCAAATTGCTGAAGAAAATTGAAGGGAAAATTGGGTAAACCGTTTGGAAAAGCCAATCTGGATATCACACAAGATAAATCTATCAATTTCAGCATTATTATATTATTTCGTTAGATTCCAATTTTTTAAATTGAGTCTTTTTATGGTTTAAACCATAAAAAGACAAAGAAAAAGCTTTAAACCATAAAAAGACTCAAATATTCGACATTATTCGAGACGAATAATCAATTACAGCATAAAGGAGGAGATTTTTTTTTCCCTTATTACTCAAATGTTGTTAAGAAAAAAACCCTATAATGATGGGAAAAAGAAAGAAATTTTTTTGGTTACTTGGATCGAACCTTTGACCTTCGAATTCACCGATTAATAGACAAGATTCCTATCCAGTCGGCTATCATATTAAACTATAATACTTTAAGCATAAGTTATTCTATTTTAGCTTTTCAATAAAAACTATAGCAAAGAAAAAGATTGTAGAGAGTTTAAACGAAAAAAAAAGTTAACTAATCCCTTTTTCTAAAGGCTTTAGGTTGAAATTTGAGATTTAAAGCATGAAAAAGTGCTATGAAATCTTTAATAAGATTAGAAAATAACTGTTTTGTTGATGTTATTGTAGAATTAATGTAACCAACCGTTTCTTCACCATTAAATCCATTATTGTCTGACTTTAGGAGAAGCTCGTTTAACTAAATTCAATTTGAATTCATTATTTTTGAAACATAACGTATTTTCTCTAATAGTAGTGCCGAGTTGATGACTATTTTACAGTTTCTAAGCTTTCCCAGAAGCTCAACACACTAATCCCCACTAGTCTAATCGGAAAACGGATTCGGAATCAGCGCAAAATTTTACGTCGGCCAGTAAATGGCTCATGCCATTTGGCCACCACAACCAGTTGACATTCCTTTGTTAATATCTAGAAATATCTAAATGTTAGACAACTTCTCCAACACCAACCGTTTTCACGATTCCGTCAAGAACGAGTTTCTGAGCGCCAGTGAAGAGTTGACCAGTCTCCGGCACTTTTCGATGAGTTGACAAAGCTTGCTGAAATTTTGAAATCACTGTTGTTTTATTTATTATCTACCTAGTTACATTTCGAACTTTACTTAGAAATAATATTATTGTTAACTTTTTGATTGAATAGAGTATACTGTAGGCTTTCAAATGATACCAAATCGAATTTGATTGAGTCAACCAACTCCAGAAAGCTCTCCAGAAAGCCAGCACTAACCAAGCTAACCGACTCTGACACTTTACCAGCACTTTACTCAGCCATTTTTCAGATATTGGTAAATCCAGTGAAGCTCTATTTAATATCATTCAAAAGCCTGAAATATTCTCTATCCAACTATAGAAAAAGTTAACAATAATATAATTTCTAAACAAAGTTATAGGCATTTAAAGTGTTTACTCCGACAAAAAGTTTCAAAAGATTCAAAAGTCAATCGGAATTCAAAAGATAAATAGATGGTGGATAAACTACCGTACCTGAATCGAGTTCAAGGCTTTAAACTGTTAATCTTAAGATAAAAATGCAACTATTTTCATATTTTTCGTCGATTTTTTCGTCGATTTTTCGCCGAACTGAGTACAAGGCCTTAAAGCCTTAAGAAATCCAACTCCAATCCAACTCCAATCCAACTATTTGATTGTCAGAACACTACTAGTTCGAATAGCTCCTTCCCGATGTTTTTTTTTTGATGGATTTTGATGGAATTATTGATTTTCTTGATTCTAATGACATATTCAAAGCTTAACAAGATTCTTAAATACTTTAGAATTGCTATAACTTTAGAATTACTATTTTAAAGCTAGACTAAAGGAAAGGAAGGCAAAAAAATTCAAGCCAAGCTTAGCGAATTGTCAAATGATCAAAATTTTCAAATTTCATGTCAAAATTGATCCTTTTTTATTGTTTTTTGTTTTCTTAAAGAATTATTATCTTATTGCTTGAATATCTTTCTAGTTTTCTAGTTTTCTATTCGTTCCTTTACGTGTTTTCCCATCCATTTCATCAAAAATGTGCCTGCGTGAATCGAAGTGTACTTTGTGCTCACCGTAAACGCCGGCTTCCCACGCAGCAGCAGCTAAATTCTAGAAAATGAGTCTCAACTTGATTCAAGACAACTTGTGCAGATGTCAGTTCTTCAGTTCAGCTCTTTTGCTTCATCAAACCAAAGCTGATGGTTTCTGGGATTCATTTCTAACATCTGATAAAGCTTGGATTAATTACGAGATTGTTCAATGAAAAAGCTATCTACCGGAAAATCCCTTAAACCCTCAAACTCTGATCTTGATAAAAAGAAAATAATGGTTTTGTTGGTGGAAAGATTTGACTATCGGCTAATAGGTTGATGCATATCTTTTCGTTTTTTCGTACTTCTGTTAAAAAGTAACAAATTCACCAATTAATCTATAGTTTGCTCTATAAAAAAAAAGTGTTTTTTTGTTCAATTTGCATCTTTTTAAATGAATTTCGGTTCACTTTCAAGCAAATTCGAGAGTGAAAAACGCCTTTTGTCGTAAAAATCCATAAAAAACTCTACGGAAAAATTGGCTGAATGAATTTCTCTGAAATTTTGGCTAGAACATTCATGTGGGTTATCAGCCGGGTGTGGGTGGGTGTGGGTTCTCAGCCGGTCCTCCTACTCGACCCCTTTCTGGCAGCCGACGTGCTATGGGGGCGATATAAAGCACAAATTCTTGTTCAGCATCATGGCAGGGCTGAGTCCCGGCCTGAGTCAGAAAAAGACTCGGTAAAATCCCATGGTGCGGCGTGCTTGCGTCGGTTGGAAGGATACACCATGGTAAGGCGCGGCTCCCGGGGTAAACCCTAGCCGAGTGACCCCCCGGCTTCCACCGTGGCACAGGGGAGGCGTAGGGGGGAAAATTACTATCCCCCCTGACTCATTGACAGCAGCAGGGATAGGCAAGAAGTACCCCCTGCCTCCTGGTCAATAATTCCTGTGAAAGTGTGTGTATTTTTGCATTTTTGGCGGCGGCGAATTTTCTTCGCTTCTTTGCCATTTTTAGAATTTTATAATATTTTATAAAATTGACAGTTTAAGTACTCGATTCTTTTGACTCTAAGTGCACTAGAAAGGGTGTGTTTACGATTTCTAACCACAAAATACAAAGAAAAATCTAATACAAGACGAAAAAATGATGAAAATAATGAAAATGAAAAAAATGATCAACTCAATCACTAAAAAAACTTGAATTTTCTTGCTTAAACGAATAAAATTCAATTCAATTACCCTAAAAAAAAGCTTTTTCTCGTAAATCAATTCAAAATGAGCCATAAATGCGAATTGGATTTGGTTAAAACTCGAAAAAGCTGAACACAGCTTGAAAGTACACAGCTGAAAAGGGTTGGCTTTAAAATCTTTTCGAAAATCATCATTTGTTGTCTTTTTTTGATGCAAATTTTCAATCTGGAACTCACCAAATCCAATTCGCTAGGAAATTCTCGTTTTAAAGCGAAAATGAAATTTTTTTTCCCCCACTTTTTTTCAATCTGGAATTCACACTATAGTAAAAACTCATTTTTGATTGAAATTTTTAAAAATTGTTTTTCCAATTTTTTCCAATAATTCTCGTGGTTTAAGAGCTCTTTTTTTAGCAATTAATGATTTATTGCTTTTCTTTTTTCTTCTCAATAACTTCTCATTACTTTTTTTCTCACTTTTACTCCCGAAAAAGCTCAAAGAAAGATTTTTTCCTTTGAAAAGTTCGTTTTTATTGTATTTTTTAGGTTTTTGAAGGGTTTTAAAGCAAAAGAATGGCTATTTTCCAAAAATTTGATCTAATTTGACCTCCTAGCTCTTGAAACAACTGAAAAATAAGCTAAAAAAGCGATAACCTTTCTCTTTATCTTTCATTTAACCTTTTTAAAACCTTATTCCAACCCCTTACTTACAATTGATGCTCACATTTTAAGCATAAATTTGATTTCATGCACCTTTTATAGCTTTTCACATCATCTATCTCATTTTTCTTTTAGTACTTTTCAATCTGGAAGCCACACAATACAATTCGCTAGGAAATTCTCGGTTTTAAGCGAAAGTGAAATTTTCAAAATTCTTTTCCTTTCGAATTCTTCAATTTCAAAGCGTAAATGAAAATTTTCTTTTTCATTTTTTCAATCTGGAAGGCACACTATAGAAATTTCTATTAAAAGCTTATTTTTAAACGAAATTGAAATTGAAATATGTAAAAATTCAATTTTTTTACAATAAATCTCTTTAGAAATAAATCTTGTTTGATTTTTTTAAAAAAAGCCAAATTTCCTCAAATTATAGGGTTTTTTCTTAACAACATTTGAGTAATAAGGGTAAAAAAAAATCTCCTCCTTTATGCTGTAATTGATTATTCGTCTCGAATAATGTCGAATATTTGAGTCTTTTTATGGTTTAAAGCTTTTCTTTGTCTTTTTTATGGTTTAAACCATAAAAAGACTCAATTAAAAAAATTGGAATCTAACGAAATAATATAATAATGCTGAAATTGATAGATTTATCTTGTGTGATATCCAGATTGGCTTTTCCAAACGATTTACCCAATTTTCCCTTCAATTTTCTTCAGCAATTTGATATTCAATCTCATTTTCAGCCAATCAACGTCCTCCAATTATTCCCCGACATCAAGCCGACCTCCGGAAACGGGTTCTAAAGCTTTATTTATTATTTTGATGAATAAATTTTCAATTTCTAGACTGAAAACTGTAATTAAGAGACTTTTTAGATTGCGAAATTCGTTTTTTGGAAACTATTTAGGAAAAAAATGATGCCCGTTTAAAATTTCGCATTGAGGAATTGAAATTGACTTGAATCGAACACTCAAAAGCTTGCAAAGTGCTTGAAAGCTTGAAAGCAAAGCTTGAAATTGATCAGAAGATCAGAAAACGTTGATAAAAAGAGAATCGACAACCATTTGCATCAACTAGAGAGTTTAGATCGTCAATGTATCCTAATGATCATGATACTTTGAGGATTTTGAGTTCTAATTGAGGATTCTAAGCACATCCTCTATTCTGGGATTCATTATGAACTGAGATTATTATTGGAATCATTATGAACTCTGGCTATCAGGGATTCATTATGAATGGCTATAAATAAGTGATTAAACAGGGATTCTTCCTAGAAAATGAGTCTCAACTTGATTCAAGACAACTTGTGCAGATGTCAGTTCTTCAGTTCAGCTCTTTTGCTTCATCAAACCAAAGCTGATGGTTTCTGGGATTCATTTCTAACATCTGATAAAGCTTGGATTAATTACGAGATTGTTCAATGAAAAAGCTATCTACCGGAAAATCCCTTAAACCCTCAAACTCTGATCTTGATAAAAAGAAAATAATGGTTTTGTTGGTGGAAAGATTTGACTATCGGCTAATAGGTTGATGCATAAGTCTTTTCGTTTTTTTCGTACTTCTGTTAAAAAGTAACAAATTCACCAATTAATCTATAGTTTGCTCTATAAAAAAAAGTGTTTTTTTGTTCAATTTGCATCTTTTTAAATGAATTTCGGTTCACTTTCAAGCAAATTCGAGAGTGAAAAACGCCTTTTGTCGTAAAAATCCATAAAAAACTCTACGGAAAAATTGGCTGAATGAATGAAATGTGGGTTCTCAGCCGGTCCTCCTACTCGACCCCTTTCTGGCAGCCGACGTGCTATGGGGGCGATATAAAGCACAAATTCTTGTTCAGCATCATGGCAGGGCTGAGTCCCGGCCTGAGTCAGAAAAAGACTCGGTAAAATCCCATGGTGCGGCGTGCTTGCGTCGGTTGGAAGGATACACCATGGTAAGGCGCGGCTCCCGGGGTAAACCCTAGCCGAGTGACCCCCCCGGCTTCCACCGTGGCACAGGGGAGGCGTAGGGGGGAAAATTACTATCCCCCCCCTGACTCATTGACAGCAGCAGGGATAGGCAAGAAGTACCCCCTGCCTCCTGGTCTATAATTCCTGTGAAAGTGTGTGTGTATTTTTTGCATTTTTGGCGGCGGTAGGATGTAAAATGATCAGTTTCTTTTGTTTTATATTTTAGAATTGTGTGTTGGCAAAATCTCCAGATAAAATTGACAGTTTAAAGCCTTGAACTCGATTCAGGGTACGGTAGTTTATCCTAAAAATGATTGGTTTTAAAACTGTTTGGTGAGGTAAAAGGGAAAAGACAAAAGGTAAAAGGCAAAATCTTCATCACTGATTTGCCATTTTGATTGATAATTGCTATTTCTTATAGAATGCAATAAATTGTTACGCTCAAAAGAGCGGGAATCATTTTTTTTACAAAATTACTGATCAAAATTGCTGATCAAATGGAAAAAAAACGGTAGAATAGTTTCTAGAAATTAGTTTCTTTTTCAGAAATTTTGATTAGAAAAATGTTTAAAAGGATTTTAAAGCTGAAAAAGACTTAAAGAAAACAAATTTTGATAAAAATTCACATTTTTGAAAGAGAAATGAGAGATTAGTAAGCTAAAAAGCTAAAAATAGCAAAAAAAAAACAGTTTTCAATTAGTTGAAGCAGGTTTATCGTGGAAAAGGCTAAATCTTTTGCCATTTTTTTCTCAACTTTTGAGTGTGTTTCTTGAAAAAAGCTCTCGAAATCGTTTCTCTTTATTTTCTCTGAGAAAACATTGGCTTAAAGTCTTTTCTTTTGTTCTTGTCGTTGTCTCAATTCAAGATTTTAGCTGAATTTATGTAAAAATTCAATTTTGTTACAATAAATCTCTTTAGAAATAAATCTTGTATGATTTTTAAAAAAAAAGCCAAATTTCCTCTCGCTAATTGGGCCTATTTTTTGTCGGACGTCAGAAAAGGGAATTTTTCAAAAAAGCGGACAGCAAAAGTACCTGGGCAAGACAACCAAGCTAACCTAGTAATGGCCAGAAGTCGGCCAGAGGTCGGCCAGAAGACTCAGCTTGTCCTTGAGACAGCCTGGCAACCTTTTATATGAAGAGTCCGGCACTACCAGTCTCTTGTCCCATCTTCACATCCGCCTCGGCAGCCATTTTCTTTCATTTAACCATTTCAAAGCATTTGTTGGGCTTAAAAAATTAAAATATGCAAAACTATCGAATCTTTGTTTACATTCATTCGAAAGATGGATTTAATTGTAGATCGAAAATCTACACTCAAGCTAGGCTCAACTTTTTGCATCCAGAAGAAGAAAAAGAATGGCTTTTTGGATCAAATTTCTTCTTGATTCTTTTAAGTGAAGAATATTTTCGTTTAGAGCTCAATAGCGGAGAGCTTTTGATATACGGAAGTTAGATTTTTGATTCTTTTCTTGATTTTGATGGATTTTGATGGATTTTTCTTGATTTTGGTCGATTTTGATTGATTTTGATGCATTTTGATCGATTTTAGGACTAAAATATTAGCTGTAGAGGTGCAAAATAGTAATATAATAGGATTCAAGAGAGAAATGGGCTAATCCTTTTGTGCAAATAGACTAGATTAGCACAGCTTTTGGCTAGAAAAAAAAGAAAATAATAATAGCCGATTCAAATACCCAATCTTTCCCACTTTTCATTCTACTTTGAGCTTCTTTTTAACGCATCTAGAACATTCAATTCTAGAACATTCAATTCTTTAATTTTCTCTATGAAAAAGACCAATAAACAGACTCTAAGTGCACTAGAAAGGGTGTGTTTACGATTTCTAACCACAAAATACAAAGAAAAGTCTAATACAAGACGAAAAAATGATGAAAATAATGAAAATGAAAAAAATGATCAACTCAATCACTAAAAAAACTTGAATTTTCTTGCTTAAACGAATAAAATTCAATTCAATTACCCTAAAAAAAAAGCTTTTTCTCGTAAATCAATTCAAAATGAGCCATAAATGCGCATTGGATTTGGTTAAAACTCGAAAAAGCTGAACACAGCTTGAAAGTACACAGCTGAAAAGGGTTGGCTTTAAAATCTTTTCGAAAATCATCATTTGTTGTCTTTTTTTTGATGCAAATTTTCAATCTGGAACTCACAAAATCCAATTCGCTAGGAAAATCTCGTTTTAAAGCGAAATTGAAATTTTTTTTCCCCCACTTTTTTTCAATCTGGAATTCACACCATAGTAAAAACTCATTTTTGATTGAAATTTTTAAAAAATTGTTTTTTCCAATTTTTTCCAATAATTCTCGTGGTTTAAGAGCTCTTTTTTTAGCAATTAATTATTTATTTCTTTTCTTTTTCTTCTCAATAACTTCTCATTACTTTTCTTCTCACTTTTACTCCCGAAAAAGCTCAAAGAAAGATTTTTTCCTTTGAAAAGTTCGTTTTTATTGTATTTTTTAGGTTTTTGAAGTGTTTATTTTCTTTTTCTTTACTTATTCTGATAGATTGCAACTCTTTGGTCTTGAAATGTTACACCAACGCCGCCTTATCATCGATTTAGTGGAATGCTTTAAAATTGTTTAAGGCATTCATCCCGACCCACAACGAGTACAAAAATTTTTGTCTTCAAATCAAAAATCGAAGCACTAACAATTCTTAAATGATGTCCAACTAAGAGAAAAAAATGCAAAAAGAATCGATTTCGACTTGTCAATTTTTTGTTGATAGGTCGAGAAATTTTGTCTTTTGACCTAATCAATTTTTTAATTTTAACGCTTAACTGAAAATTTTCTTTTGTCATTTTTTTCAATCTGGAAGTCACACTATAGAAATTTCCATTAAAAGCTTATTTTTAAACGAAATTGAAATTTCCAAAATTCTTTTTCTTCCAAATTTTTCAATTTTAAAGCTTAACTGAAAATTTTCTTTTGTCATTTTTTTCAATCTGGAATTCACACAATACAATTCGCTAGGAAATTCTCGTTTTTAAGCAAAATTGAGATTTCCAAAAAACCTTTTGCTTTCCAATATTTTCCTAGTCCAATAATTCATCTCATAGCTGAGAAAAGAGCTCTTTTTTTCAGCTATGAATTATTTATATCCCTTTTTTTCCTTTCAACAACCGAACACATTACTTTTTTTTCTCACTTTCACTCCCGAAAAAAGCTCAAAAAAAAGGATGTAAACGATGGGAAAATTGATAGAAAAAGTTAGTTTTTACGGCTTTTTTTTAGCTTTACAGATTGTTTTAAAGTAAAAGCTTGAACATTTTCGAAATTATTGATAACTTTTGCCCAACTAGCTCTTAGATCTTTTAAGCTTTTAAGCTTTTTACTCACAGTTTAAGCATACATTTAGAGTATAAATTCTCAAAAATTTCAAAAGTACCTAGAGGTTTTTGGCTCGTTTTTCTATAATCTAAATGAATTTTTCATCTTTCGATATTTTTCTATAATTCTTTGACTATAGAAGTTTGACTATTTTGGCTGTTAGAACTAGCACCAAACAAAAGAAAACAAAACTAGCTTCAAGATCATTTTCCCTAGACCAAAAGAATTTCTTGCAAATTGTTATGTATAGAAAAGGAGCTAAAGAAGGCTAAAAGAAGAGAAAAAGAAAAAAAATTGGCTGGTAGGGCCTGGTCCTTTGTGTCACCAAAAGAAAAAGAAGGGGGGGGGGGGGAAAGGAAAAATGGCTTTCTTTTTCTCTTTCTTGAATCTTTTCCCTTTTCTCCATGGCCTTTATCAAGCTTTTTCTAGTTTTCTTTTAGATAACTTCAATGGATTATATAATTTCTGAAACTTTATCTAGAATCTAAAGAGTTAAAGAATTGATTTTTCTTGCTTTTTGAGTTAATGGAGAGATTTGGCTGGCTTGAGCCTGGCTGGCTGGAATCCTGATTCGATCAACTAGAAACCAGATCTCGATTATGATTGATGCTTGAACTGGTCTGGAACTAGCTCTAAAGGTCTGAAGGGAAATCCAAGGCTTCTAGTTTAAGCTGATGATAATAACATTGGTCAAGTCAGAGCTCAGTTTGAGTTCGATTGCCTGACTTGACCTTAACCGAACTGACGAAGGATTACGGTAGTTTAGATGTCTCTTAGAAAAGCTGGAGAGTCCTAGACTTCTAGAGTTCTATCGTTCTAGACTGAGTCCTAGAGTCCTAGAGTCCTAGAATTCTAGACTCCTAGAGTCCAAGAG